ATATGTATTTATGTATATACTTTACTATAATATTTTTTACCACAATCCTACTTTTCATTAGACTGATACATCTAAAAACAGCCAGATAAAGGTTTGTAAAATATACATATTTGTTTTTTTCACAGTAACAGTAAATGTTTATTTAAATTAATTTCTAGTAATTTTCAGCAAAATTTTACGATATTAATTACATATTAGTTATTGAATGAAACAAAAGCGCTATTGCTAGGAGATCATCTTTTTGCGTATGTACTGTATATCAACACGGCATAAGTTTTCAGAATTCAGAAAGTAGAAAAACATCATGTCTTGAAATAATTGTACTGAACGGTTGATATTTTTGGAAACTAAGAATCTGAAACTCGTCTTTTTAATTGATTTGAAAATGGATTCGAGAAGTAATTCTCTGCAATATAATTTTAAACAATGGACTTCGACTCACTAAATACAGAGTTAATCTGATGAATGTCATGTGTAAACATGGAAAACCTCAGCGAGAAGCCAATTAACCAATGAGAAAAGTTGTTAATCTGACGTCACAATGTTGCCGTACCATGCGTTCTTGTATACGCATTCCAGACGAACCGTATCATGGCGCAAGAAGGATATACACGATGATTCGCGCTCCACAAGTATTCTCTGTTTGTGTGATTTTTGTGTGTTTACTAACAATAATTTATGGTGTAAACGTTGTGGAAGAATGTTTCAAGGGCTGCAGAGAAAGACTGGTAAGTAAAATAGTTTTCGTTATGTTTTATAATCAATTTTTACAAGGACACTTGCGTTCTGACCAGAGTAGTTCGACTTCGTACGAAACGGGCCGATAACTTGTTGACGGTGTGCTTACTCTTGAATCATTTATCTTATAAAACATGCTTCATCAGTCATGGCTAAACATTTCAATATATAGAATAATGATTGGTGGTAAAACACAGAATATAATTCGGTAATAATCTGTGATCATAATCAGGTGAGTTCTGAAGGTCGTAGTCTTAATAACAGTGGTCAGAGTTTGTGGTGCATCAGAAATTTTCCAGTCTGAATCGATATATTATAATCAATGGTCAGAAACGATAGTTAGGCAGTGATAAATAGAAGTAAATACTATAAATCAGTGATTTGAATGTAATGTCAGGCAATATAGCACTGACTAGTAACCATGACCAATGGTCAGAATTTAGAAGAGATAGATCAAACCGTAGTGTATTATTCTGCAGAACGCATTCTCGGGATCTAGTGTTATGAATACCAATTATTTGTTACAGCTATGAAAACAGCAATATAAAAAAACATATCGTCCATCATATTGATAATAATTGCTTAGTTGTAAATTGTATTGTTTTTAGTAAGAGTGAAAGGAGAACGTTATCCTAAAAGGTCTTTTATTAAGTATAGATTTACATATATGTATATCATTCAAAAAACTAATAATAATTGTATTAAGAAGTGTACCGCCTTTTTCATTTGATATTTTTTTATTCCAACGTAATCCGGTAATTAGGGGGAAACAACTTTCAATTGAAACGCTAATCAAATAATTCTATTATCAAAAATTAACATCATGCATTGCGCGAGTGTAACTATATTCGTTTAAACTAAATTAGGTACACAATTATTGCGAAGTTCGTCAGGAATGAATAAGGTCACGTATGTCTTAAAAATTACGAAAACTACCATTAAAAAGTAAAATTAAAATTAATGTGGTATACGGGTTACACAACTGTGACGTAAGTTTTAGATCTAGCATCTTTAAGGCTGAGCTGTGGTGTCAACGTTACTAACAAACTTAAATAGAGATGGGCCATTATGATGCTAGTATGAAGATTGAAAAAGTATAGACATTATAAAATATTTTATACTATCAACTTTTAAAACTTGATATATATATATATATATATATATATTGATTTGTAGACACACGAAACAGTGTGTTGTTTAGAGAAGACGTAATTGTCATTTTCGTGTTAGTTCCGTCGAATGTCAGAAAACTTTCCTTACGAACATCAGGAAGATGTCTACCTATTAAAAAATCCACTGAGGACAAAAATTAAACTACCAGTACGACACGTCTGATGATGATAATCTATTTCTAAATCCGCAGATTCATTGTATTTATGAAGATTATATTAAGAAACAATACTTTGTTTTTAGTTAAGCATAAAGCTACACAATGGGCTATCTGTGCTGTGCCCATAACGGGTATTGAAACCCGAATTTTAACGTTATACTCCCAAAGACTAGCTACTGTGCCACTAGAGGTAATACGAATAAGCTTTTAATCTAATTGTAAACAAATATTACAAAATACGACAAACATTCTATTGCTGCGTGATACAGCAGTACAAATATTTTTTTGACCCAATTATGATATTTTCACATCATTCTGGGGTTTTATACTTTGTATTATTACGAAGTATCACAAAACAGTAGTCTATTCATTACGACTGTTTTCTTCACACAAAGTTCAAAACATAAATCTTTGTAATTACTTTTATGTAGTACACTATAAGTTAACAAGAAACAGTCGTAACATCATCATGGGGAGGTTTCAAACGTTGTCCTGGTTATTATTATTCGTCCCCCCGGTGGGACAGCGATAGGTCTATGAACTTACAGCGCTAAAATCCGGAGTTCCATTCCCACAGCAGATAACCCAATGTGGCCTTGTTCTAAAACAAATAAACATTATTTTTAAGATCATTTGAATCTTATCGTCGGTTTCATTCCTTATCGATTGTTTAATCCTGGTTTCCTTTTTAAAGCCCCCCCCCCCCCAATGGCACAGCAGTATGTCTGCGGGCTTACAACGCTAGAAACCGGGTTTCGATACACGTGGTGAGCAGAGCACAGATTGCCTATTATGTAGCTTTGTGCTTAACTTCAAACAAACCTTTTTAATATTTATTGTTTCCTTCTATCCTGGTGGTTTGTCTTAATCCACATTATTTGTTTTCGAGCTTAATTAGCTCGATAGTTCGTATATTCTAATCTTAGTTTTTTTTGTTTTGTTTTCAACCCAATTTTGTTTCGATACTGATTTTTTTTTTAGCTAGATGGATTGTTTAGTTGTTTGTTGCAATTCCAGTGATGTATGCCCGACGTGTACGTATTTATATATATATCCTGATCATCTTTATCCCACCCTGATAACTTGTGTTAACTAGATAGGACGTTACAATCCTAATGTCTCCTATCGATCGTGATAATCTGTTTCCTCACTGTTATAGGTTGTTTCCACAGTGATGGTTTGCTTCGGTTTTAATGTATTGTTTCTATGCTAATGATTTCTTTTGCTTCTGGTGGCTTTATATATATATGTTGTTTTAATTTGTTTCGATGTTAATATAGTTTGTTTTGATTCTAATAACATTTATTTTTATTTCTCGGTACTCTATTTCCACATTAATAGGTTGTTTTTATTCTGATTGTTTTGAGGATAATATAGTTTGTTTGGAACCTGATGAGGTCTTCTCCTACCCTGAGACACTATTTCCTCACTGGTAGGTTGTTTCTACCTTGATTACTTGTTTACGAGGTTCAGCCTGATTAGGAAATTTAGGTTGGTTAACTTATTTGTAGTTAAGCACAAAACTACATAATGGACTATTTGTGCTGTGCTTACTGCAGGTATCGAAACGCAATTTTTAGCGTTATAAGCCCTCATACTTACCACTGAGACAACGGGGAGGGAGGGAAAAATTAACTATTTATATCAAACATTCTAACCAATATTGTTAATGACAATAGCAAAAAAGAAGTGCGAGTAGTGTGAATACTCCCTCAGCACGTGAATATTCCCTCATCACGTCACCATATAGGTTGAGGAAGTAGAAGTGTGTCAGGCCCGTAACTACACTGCATTTCACCTCTGAAACTAAGTTTGTTCTCATCAACCAGGTGAACAATGTTATATACTCTAATTTGGTACATCGGTTTCTCCATTTCGCTTTATTTTTACGACGAAATATATTTGGGTGGATGGATCAACAGAAAAACGTACCAACTGGCTCTTTTAAAAATGTGTATGCCACGCCCTTCTTTTCTTTTGCCAACCTCTGATTACAACCTTCTAATGCATTTATATGTGTATCTGTACGTGTCTTTAAGAAATATTCCCATACAGTTACCGTAACCAAGGGCTTTTGTTTTCACACTGACCTTTCATTGCTCGGTAAGCTAAAGGGTCACGATACGTCCAGTAGTACTTCAAGCACGCAACTATGGGTCACTATACGTCCAATATTAATTCAAACATATGCCAAGGTGTCACCATTCATCCAATATTATTTAAATTACGCGTAGAGGGAGTATTACACCTCCATTATTACTTCAAGCACATACCTAGGGATCAATACTCGTCTTTACATCTCCAATATTATTTCAAGCATGCGCAAAAGGGGTCATTAAACATCCAATATGACTTCAACCACGTAATGTTAATTTAAGCTTGCAAGCTGTAACGTATAACCCATTATGAAGTCTCTCATGCAGTATGTTAAGAAAATTTGCATCTAATATTGATCATACTTCTCTTATTTATAGTTTCAGTACGTAAAAGTTTCGTGGTAACTGGGATATTTACATATGAGGCTGAAGTCAGGGTTCATATAACAGATTTATTGTTTGAAACAAGTAACTTCTACTGCCTGATATTAACGTAGAACTTAATCACAAAATGAGAGTAATAAACGCTCATAGCAAAAGAAAAGAATGACGTGAATGTGAAAGTAAGTGTAAGCGAATGTATAATGGAGAACCCAGAAACAAATATGGTACATTGGGGAGGGTATTCTTTCTCCAGGTCATGAAACATTTTGAGAAAAAAAAAGCACTTATTTGATTAGGTCTAAGCTAAGGGTACCTTTGTTTAGTAGGGGGGATGGGTGGGTGCAACTCTCTGGATCCGCCGCTGGTACTGTAATTAAAAAATATATTTTGCGTAAAGTAAACTCAATTTTTTAAAACGGACCAATCGAAATTCACGAATCGTGTATAAGTCTTACATCCAAAGCGAATTTATCATTTTGACTACTGTACGAAGTAAAACAAAGTGTTCAAATATTTATTACTCTATGTACTCTGTTCAGTATGCCAAGATAGGTTAAATGAATGAACACAAAGTAAAATATTTTCCAGTTATAACAGTTTATTTGTAAACATATTAATTTTTATTATTATAAATAACCTTCACAAAATTAATTTTGAGTTATGAATATTTTTTGAAAAAGCTATCAACAATGTTTATATTAAAAGTTGTCTTCATTGGTCTTTTGATCTAAAGGTTTTCTTCATACTAAAATTATTAAAATTTACTTCGGTCTTTAACCTTTCTTCTCTCCTTTGTGTAGTAAAAATCCCTTCAAGTCTGTACTATAATTTCAAATTTAACTGAAAAGTGATTAGTTTTTCTATTTTAATTTAAATTATAGTATACTTTTTCGCAGAAAATTATCAAGAAACATTTTACAAGTTTTTAATTTTTTTCTTTTCTAATATGTTTATTTTGTATTCAAATGTTACTTTAATTTTCAAGTCATCACCTTTTCAAGAATTCTTTATTTGTACTGATTTATAGGCATCTTGCTAATGTTCTTTTTCTTTGTCAGTTCTCTTAAATTCCGTGTTTTATAACTTAAAAAACTATCCGGGAATTTGGAAAATGTTACTAGAGTTATTTTTCTTATCTTTTTCGCTTCAGAATTCTCTGATACTACTATCACGTGCAGAT